CCATCCATCCACCCACCCACCATCCATCCATCATCCATCATCCATCCATCCATCCATCATCCATCATCCATCATCCATCCATCATCCATCCATCATCCATCCATCATCCATCATCCATCATCCATCCATCCATCCATCCATCATCCATCATCCATCCATCCATCCATCATCCATCCATCATCCATCCATCATCCATCCATCATCCATCCCCCAGCCCATTCCCTCCCTTGGATCCAGCACATTCCCTCATCCCACGGCTTCCTCGCACCCATGGAAAGGATCCCTACATCCCCCATCCCACCCCTTCTCTTTGGATCCAAAATCCCCCAGCCCCAAAATTCCCACCCCAGAGCCGCCCCCTCGTTCCCCGTGGATCCACCCCGCCGCTCACCGAACGCCTGCAGCTTTCCCGAGTGGAAATCGCTGAGGAGGCTGAGCAGCCCCCCCTCCATCTCGCACACGTCGGACACATCCGTGAGGAAGCTGTGCTGGAGCGGGGCCCCCCGGGACCCCCCCGCTGCCGCCCGCGCCCGCTCCTTGCTGGTCCTGCGCGGGGAACACGGCGTTGGCATCGCCCCGGCGGCTCCGGGCCCGCGGCTCCCCCCGGGCCGCACTGACCGGCGGGGCCGCGGTCGCTGCCGGGGCGAGGGCAGCGTGGGCAGCGGCAGAGCGAAGGACGTGCTCTTGCTCGGGGGCAGCGGCCGCGGGGCCCCGGCGGGCAGCGGCTGAGCCAGGCAGGTCTTGGGGCTCCGCTTCTTCCTCCGCTCCTCCATGGCCGGGGCCGCGGGGGCCGCGGGGGCCGCGGGACCGGGACCCTGCGTGGGACGGACACGGCGCTCGGAGGCTCCTTCCCTGCTCGGGGACCCCCGGGACGAAGGGGGACAGCCGCTCGCACCGGGACCCCCGGGTTAAGGATGACACCCACGGCCAGCAGGGCTCGGTGGCGGCGGGAGGACCGGAGCAGGAGCTCGGTCCCCCATTCCCGGGGGTCTCCGCTCCCCCGCGCCCGGAGCATCCCCGCAGGAGCTCGGCCGGGGTCTGAACCGCAGCCGCAGCTCCGGCCGGGCCCCATCTCTCCATGGAAAGGAGGATTTCGGCCCGGACCACCCCGGCGAGAGCGGGGCAGGGACCGCACGGGGACCCCTTTGTGCCGCCGAGCCCCCCCGAGCCCCGGGCCTGCCGGGATGGGGCAGCTCCGGGGGCTGCGGAGCCCTTTTGTCCCTTTTGTCCCCTTTGTCCGCAGCCTCCGGCCGGGACTGACCTGCGCCAGGCCCGCTCCGGCCTCCAGGAGCCGATGGACGCTCCGATCCTGCCGGACACCCCGATCCCGATCTCCGTCCGCACAGCCTGGGATTTGCATTTAAAGGGAAAGGGAACTTCCTCCAGGCGCCGCCGGACACCGGCTGCCCGCAGGATCCCCGGAGCTGGCCCCGGGATCAGCATCCCACAGGATCGGGAATGGAGCGGGATCCGGCTCCCGTCACCCCCTCCCGCCCCCCGGCTGCGGGCTTTACCCCGAGTCCCCTCCGGTGTCACCGCAGTGCCGCGGTCGCAGGATCCGTCCCTGCTGGAAGGAGCCGGGAAAGAGCCGGGAAAGAGCCGGGAGGGAGCCGGGAGGGAGCCGGGAAGGAGCCGGGAAAGAGCCGGGAAAGAGCCGGGAAAGAGCCGGGAAAGAGCCGGGAAAGAGCCGGGAAAGAGCCGGGAAAGAGCCGGGAAAGAGCCGGGAAAGAGCCGGGAAAGAGCCGGGAAAGAGCCGGGAAAGAGCCGGGAAAGAGCCGGGAAAGAGCCGGGAAAGAGCCGGGAAAGAGCCGGGAAAGAGCCGGGAAAGAGCCGGGAAGGAGCCGGGAAGGGCCTTCAGCCCTGGCGCACGGACGGGATTAAACAAGTCCCGTCCCTCCGCCACCTCCAGGCCGAGCGCGGCTGTTCCTGTAAATCCCGGCAGGATTTTAAATCGCTCCTGGACGTTTTGGAGCCGATGGGGGCACAAGGGAGCAGGCGGGTGGGGTTGGTACCCTCATGGCCGGGGGCGCTTGGTGGCTGCAGGAGCCCGGGGAGGGAGAGCCGGCTGCTGGGGACGCACCAATGTCCCCCTGAGCAGGGACATCCCATCTCCACAGCAGCAAAACGTCCCTCGCAGCCTCCCCCACCTCATTCCCACCGGACAGGCAGGAGCAGAGCTCAGGGACACGGGGAAGTGTCCCAAAATCTTCACTCCCCCCTCCCACGGTAAAAAACGAGAGACACCAGAGGCAGCAGCGAGGTCGGGAGTGTTTCTATTGGATACAGGATACACACAACAGCCCCCGCGGAGCTTTCTGTACCGTAACAGAGAAAAGACCGGGGGAAAAAGGGGGTTTGGTGAATTTCTAAGGGGTTTTCATTTTACTGAAGTCCAGATCCGGGCGGCAGCCCTTGCTCAGCCCTGGGAATGGGGCGGTGCCACCAGGCCGGGGCTACATTCATGGATCATCCTGGAGGAACGGCGCTGACAGCAGGGGCTGGAAGACAAAGCCACCACAGCTCCAGGGATTGTCCCAGTGGATGTCCAGCCACGGCTCTGTGCAGCCCCAGGGCCTCTCCCTGCTTCTTCCTTAAATCTGGATTTCCTGGAATCCCCTGGAGGAAAAGGGGACACAGAGGCAGGTCCTTCATGGAGCGAAGATGTGAGAGCAGCTCTGGTGCCGGGAGAGAATCCCAAACTGATCCACTGGATACATCCATGAGGGGAAACATCTCCAGCCAGCTGGCTTCAGCTTCCAGCACAAGGAAGGCAAGGCTGGGAATAAAGTCTGTCACGAAGAGAAGCTGCAGCGAGGTTTGAAGCAAGTCAAGTCTTCCAAAAGAACAGCGAAAAGACGAAAGTCTGGAGAAACTAAGGAAAATCCCGGTGCCAGCAGGTCCCACATCTGTCCCTAAACTCCCTCCCGGCACATCCAGGCCCTGTGGGGTGAGGCAGCCCTGGGGAGATGCTCTTCCAAACAGAGGGGAAGGAAAAGCGGGGCTGGGACGGCACAGGCACCCCCAGGCTGGAGGAGCAGCCCCACGGCACAGGCTGGGAGCTGATCCCGGCGATCCGGCTGGAGCAGCAGCTCGTGGAGCACAATCAGCTCTGAGGTTGGATCCTCCTGGAGTCCCAGGATGCCTCCAGGGCTGGGGCAGAGGGGCTTGGGGGCAGCTCCCCAATCCCTGTGCACAACGATGCGAAACACTTGGGAATTAGACCTTTGGATTAACTCTTTAATACACTTTGTGCACGTGTGCGTTCAGCAAAGAGGCAACTGTGAATCGTAAGGCGGTTTTGAGACATTGGCAGGGCCTGGGAAGAACAAAAATTCCCGGGGGTGGGACCAGGCACCCCCTTTCTTGCTTCTCCCCGTCCCCATTCCAGACACAGAACCCACAGAGAGAGGAGGGGAGCGGCCTCTTGTGCCCCCAGCTCACGCACGAGCCGCCAGCAGGAGCCAGAGCGGGAGCTCCCTCCTGCCTGGCAGAGGGAAGAGGGAGAAGCCAGCGCTGGGAACGCTCCGGAATTCCCCCAGCTCTGCTTTCACTCCAGGGTGGAGTCGTTGTCCCTTGTCCCTGTGCCAGGGCACAGATCCCTGGATCTGCTCTCCTGAGCCTGCCAGTGACAAGGTCTTTTAGTGAGGGATCATCAGTTGAGGCTCCACGTTTTCAATATTCACACAGGCAGGGAGCTGGGCCCTTCTTCTCATGGATCTCAATAGATAAAAGTATTGCCCTGCACGTTTTTATATATCTCATATATATATATATATATATAAAATCTTAAAAAAAACCCTCCAAAACCCTAAACTAGGAAATCTCACATCCCCAGAGGGGCTGTGTCCTGTCCTTTCCCATCTGTCCCAGGACAGGGAGAGGGGAATCTCAAGCAGCTCCCAGCTCACTCTCCCTCACCCCACCTGCGTGCTCAGGGCTCAGTCAGTGCCCCGAATCCCCTCCTCGGTCCCGCTCTGCCCCACGCTCAGTTCTGCCGGCATTTCTGCGGGATCTGGGCTGTTTGTGGCCTTTCCTGAGCTCAGGGCGTCTGGAGCTGCCTCGGAGCTGTCCCGGGATGGCTCCTTCAGAGGCTCCAACAGGTCCGTGTGGGCACACAGGTCCTGCACCTTCTTGTTGAGGTCGTTTCGCTCCGTCTGCAGCGCACGGCAAAGCTTCTCCAGGCGCTGGATCTTCACCTGGAGCCCCTCCAGCTCCTTGTCCCGCAGAGTTTTCTGCAGGGAGAGGCAGAGAGATGAAAACAGAGGGATGTGAGGGGATATAGGGCAGGGTTAGGTGGGATACTGGGATAAAATTCCTCCCTGTGAGGGTGGGGAGGCCTTAGCACAGGGTGCCCAGAGAAGCTGTGGCTGCCCCTGGATCCCTGGAAGTGTCCAAGGCCAGGTTTGGAGAAACCTGGGATAGAGGACGGTGTCCCTGCCCATGGCAAGGGGTAGAACTAGATCAACTTAAAGGTCTCTTCCAACTCAAACCATTCCATGGCTGACTCTAGGGAAGCCTGAGGGGAAAATCCCCACGACCAAGCAAACCTTCAGCACCCAAAGCACCAAGAAGTTTCTTTCTCCCTTTGCCATCACAGAGCACCAAGGCAGGACCTGTCCTGTGCCCATCCCACCCTCCCCAGCTGCCCCAGAGTCTCCCCTCACCTCTTCTGCCATCTCCAGGAGGGCCTTGTTGCTGCTCTCCCAGCGGGAGCGGTACATCGTGGTCTCCTTCTCCAGCTTCTTGATTTTCTTGGTCATCTACAGAATCACAGAAAGGGCACAAATCGAGTCACAAAATGTCCTGAGCTGTCCAAAATGTCCACAGGGATCAAAGTCCAACTCCTGGCCCTGCTCAGGACACCCCAGAATAAACAAACCCCAGGGAGAACATTGCTGTGACATCTCACAGGTCCTCATGGGTCACCCCAAATTTTGGGTGTAGACCCAAATCTCACTGAAATTATGGAGCTGGGGCTCTTCCAGCTCCCGGCAGCATCGAGGGAAAAGCATCACCCACCTTCTCCATCTCCTGTTTAAATGTTGTGAACACTTCACTGCTTTTGGAAAGGGTGTTCTGGAACTCCTCAAACTTCTCTGTGTACAGAGCCAGCTGTGGGGAGAGACAGGGAGCTCATGGCACCAGTGCCTGGAGAGGGGAGAGGCCAGCCAAGGGCTGAGCTGCTGCCCTGGGACACGGACAATCAGCAGGAACTGCTCTGCCAAAGGAAAATTCTGTCCTAGGGAAACATCCTCAGAGCAGAATGTTCTACAAACACTTCCTGGCTGTGGCAGGGTGATCCAGTGCTGGGAAACAATCCTGAACAAACCCTCAGCTCACCAAATCCAAACCCAGGAGGGATCCTGCCCCTCTGCTTTCCAAATTAAGGAACTTTGGGTTCTCCAGGGAAGGAGGGAAATCCCCAAACAAACCAGGCTGAGCACACAGAGCAGGGAACTCACCTGCTGCTTGAGGTGGGTCTCCTGCTGCTTCATCAGCTCACACATCCTCTGTGACTCCACAGCCTCCTTCAGCAGCTGGGGGAGAGCAAAGCCGTTATCTGGGAATGCTCTTGGCACAGCCCTGCACGGGAGAGGCACGAGGAGCACAGCAGGGCCCCAGCCTGGCTCCTGCAGCAGCCCCTGGACATGCCAAGACCTGGGACAACACCCAGGCATCCACAGAAAGAGGCAAAAAGAGTCCCAAGCGACCGCTCCAAGACTTACAAAGTCTTTCTCCCGCTGGTGCCTCTCCTCTGCCTCCTTCAGCATCTCCTGGGCTTGCTGCAGTTTGGCATCCACCAGCTGCTGCTGCAGCTCCTTGTGCTTGAACACCTTGTCAATGTGCTGGGGGGAGAAGAGCGCAGCTCAGCGAGGATCCAGAGCCTCCTCCTCGCTGTGGCAGCAGGAACAGCCCCCTGTCCCTGACCCACCTCCTCCCGCAGCTCGTACTGCTCGATCAGCTTCTTCAGCCGCTCTGCCAGCTCCATGTTCTCCTGGCGCAGTTTGGAGTTGCGGTCGTTGTGCTGCTCCATCTGCAGCTGGATGTCGTTCAGAGTCACCTGGAAGTGGGAGGTCACCTCCTTCCTCTTCTCCTCCTCCTCCCTGGCACGCTGGACACCCTCCTCCTGCGTGGGGGATGTGTCAGGTAACAGAGAAAACTTCCCAAAATGATGTTCCCAACCCATCCAGCCTCACTTCTTATTTCCATCAGGGTATAATAATTTATACTTTTAAATATTTGTTTCTATTTATTTTATTTAGATATCTATATATAATAATATATAGATAATATCTTTATTTAAGTATTGTTTAAATAAATAAAATTAAAAATGAATAAAATTTTAATTTACATTTATGTATTTTATACATTTATAAATTTATAAAATTTATAAATGTATACATTTAGATTATATTAAAATTAATTTAATTAATAAATAATTTTAAAATAAAATTATAATTTATAAAATATATTATTAATACTATATTACTATATATCCATTATTATATAATGTACATTATATATAACATAATATATTATATGTATATATTATGTTATATATTATATATACTATATTATATATTGTATATTATATAATATAGTGGATATGTTTCTATAATATATATTATTATATATTACAGAAAGAACATTATTTATAATAAAATAATATATAATATAAATATATTTATAATATATAATATAATATATATTATGTAATATGTAATATACAAACAGTATATAAAATATATTTATATAAAATATAAGTAAATAACATTAATTTTATTTAAATATTTCTTTCTATATATAAATAATATTTTTGTTTTATTTATATTTACAGTTATTCCTTATATCCATCAGGAAAGGACTCTGGGCCTTCCCCTCCTTCCCCAGATAAACCCTGAAATCACAACTTGAATAGTGCAGGTGGCTCAACACCAGGATTCCAGCACTGCCCTGATGGCAGAGCTGGGGAAAGCACTGGGAAAGGTGAATTTTCCAGAATGGCAGAGCCCAGGGAGAGGGATCCAAGAGCTGGGCAAGGAGCAGAGCCTGGAGAAAATCACCTTGAGGGTGCGGTTGTGCCTCTGCAGCTCCCGGCACAGGCTCTCCAGCTTGCTCCGCGCCAGGATGGCCTTGCTGTGCTCGCTCTGCAGGTGATCCTTCTCCTGCACCAGCTGGCTCTGCTTCTTCTGCAGGATCTTCATCTGCTTCTGGGAGTTGCGGTGCTCCTCCAGCTGGGAGAGAGGAGCAGAGGGTGTGCAGGCAGCCGTGCCCCGCTGAGGGGACACGAGCTCGCTGTGCCCCAGGGACAGGAGCTCTGTGACACCTCAGAACACAGCAGTGTGACACTTTCTCCTTCCTGAATTCCCATCTTGCTGCAATGGGAAGGAGCTCCATGTTCTCCCAGCACAGGGAAAAGCCACCCAGGGACACTTTGGACATGCCCAGGCAGCCCAAAAGCTGCTCCAGGTCCAGATCCATGCTTGGAACTCCACCTTGGCTCTGGTTAAAGGTGGGATCAGGCTTTGTGTGTGTGAAAACAGACCTGACCTCCTCTTGCACCCAGATTTGCCAAAATTCCTTCTGTCCACGCTTCACAAACACCACCAGGCTGGACCCAGCAACACCCACCCTCTCCTAAAGATATCCAGCACTGCAGAGATCCCACACACAACTCCAGTGTGTCCCTGGAATGTCCCTGTCAAAGGCCTCTCCTGCCTCCCTGAGCTGCCACGTCCTCCCCCAGCCCCAGGACTCACCAGCTCAGCGTATTTCTTGCAGAGAGCTGCCAGCTTCTCCTCTGACGTGCTCAGGGTGTTCAGGGTCTGCATCAGCAAAGTGATTTCCTTGCCTGGAACGAGATACGGAATGGGAATAATGCAATAAATAGGATAAAATGGCTTTACACAAGAGCTCTGGCTTGGAAAGGCAAAAAAAGGAGGAACTGAGCAGGTATCCAGTGCATTCCCAGGATTTCCCCATGGTGGGAGAACAACTGGAGCAGCTGGATTTTGGAGGGGAAAACCATCCTTAGGTTGGCTGGAGCCAGCTGTGCCCAGCAGAGGAGAAACCCACGGAATTCAGTGCATCCCTCGGTGCATCCTTCACCCCCACGGAACAGGAGGATGTTCCCAAATATATCCAAGGCTCTGATTTCACCAAGGATGATTAGCGTGGGATAAAATCCATTCATCCATGCACTGATATCATTGGAGCAGGGAATCTTTCACCTAAACCCTTGGAGAGCAGGGAATCTTTCACCTAAACCCTTGGAGAGCAGGGAATCCTTCACCTAAATCTTTGGGGAGCAGGGAATCCTTCACAGAAATCCTTGGGGAGCAGGGAATCCTTCACCTAAATCCTTGGGGAGCAGGGAATCCTTCACCTAAATCTTTGGGGAGCAGGGAATCCTTCACCTAAACCCTTGGGGAGCAAGGAATCCTTCACAGAAATCCTTGGGGAGCAGGGAATCCTTCACAGAAATCCTTGGGGAGCAGGGAATCCTTCACCTAAATCCTTGGGGAGCAGGGAATCCTTCACCTAAATCTTTGGGGAGCAGGGAATCCTTCACCTAAACCCTTGGGGAGCAAGGAATCCTTCACAGAAATCCTTGGGGAGCAGGGAATCCTTCACCTAAACCCTTGGAGAGCAGGGAATCCCTCACCTAAACCCTTGGAGATCAGGGAAACCCTCTCCTAAACCCTTGGAGATCAGGGAAGCCCTCACCTAAACCCTTGGAGATCAGGGAAACCCTCTCCTAAACCCTTGGAGATCAGGGAAGCCCTCACCTAAACCCTTGGAGATCAGGGAAACCCTCTCCTAAACCCTTGGAGATCAGGGAAGCCCTCACCTAAACCCTTGGAGATCAGGGAAACCCTCTCCTAAACCCTTGGAGATCAGGGAAGCCCTCACCTAAACCCTTGGAGATCAGGGAAACCCTCTCCTAAACCCTTGGAGATCAGGGAAGCCCTCACCTAAACCCTTGGAGATCAGGGAAACCCTCACCTAAACCCTTGGAGATCAGGGAAGCCCTCACCTAAACCCTTGGAGATCAGGGAAACCCTCACCTAAACCCTTGGGGAGCAGGGAATCCCTCACCTAAACCCTTGGCTTTTTTCTTCTCCTGAGCTTTCTTCTGGTCCCGCTCGCCGCCCTCCTCTCCAGGCCGGAATTCCTCGCTTCCCTTGGTGTTCTCCTTCTCCCCGTTCATCTCGGGGCCGCCCGGCTCCTGCTCCCCGTTCCTGGGGGATTCGCTCCGTCCCTTTTCGGGCTCCTCGGGCTCAGGGGGCTCTCCCTGCCCTCCGTCCTCCCCTGGGTTCTCCTGGCTGGCATCCACACAGTAGGTGTTCAGGATGTCCTCCAGCTGCCGGCTCAGCTCCTCGGAGACGTCGCAGGAGGATTTGGGATCCTCCTGTGTGAGGGGAGCTGGGGGGGAAAACGGGAACACAGAGCACTGAGCCTCACCCCTCTCACCCTGCTGGGAGCACGCAGGGAATGGGAGGTTTTTTCTGGCTGGACTTGCGGCAGGATAAGCTGTTTTGTTCCGGCTGTGTCTCCAGCCAGCTGCTCTGACAATGGCAGGGCATTCCCAACAGCCTCTCCTTTGATCAGCAGAGCATGACCAAGCCCCTGACATCTGTCAAGAGGGAAAATTCCCCCCCTCTCCCCTTTTTATTTTTTTTTTATTTTTTTTTTTTTTTTTAAGGAAAGCAGGTTGTGTGTGAGCTTTTTTTCCCCCCAGAGGAACTGGTAGCCCGGATCTCCAAGGCTGGGCTTTTTAGCATGACAATGGATTTTTAAACCTGGATAAGAGCAGCTGGATCTCTGGGATCAAACAGGGATGAAGGAGGCAGAACATCCTGGCAGCAGCCAGGAAAGGGGAACTCCTCCAGGGCTGCACACACACGCAGAAATAGGGAAAAAAACCCTGATTTTCTGCCCTGGAAAAGCAGGATTTTCTGTCCCTACAAAGAGCTCCATCCAGCAGCCCAGCCTCGTGCAGAAAAAGCAGCTCCCAGGCTCAAACCCACCCTCACACATTCCAGGGAATGCCAGCACTGCCCCCCAGCCGTGGGCAGGGACAGAACCCCCCCAGTCTTCCCCCACCTTCGGGGGCAGCTGCAGCCTCTGGTGAATCTCCCTCTTCCAGCCCCATCCCACTGTTTGTTCTGGAAGGATGTGGAGCTGCTTTGGTCTCCACTCCCTGGTTCTTCATCACAGCCTTTCCACCCTCTCAGACTCTGCAGAAACAGAAAGGGAGAGGCTTTAAGGACATCTGGAGGAATTTAGGAGTCGTCAGCCTGGCTTGGGAAGGAAGGAGCCTGTTCTCAGCAGAAGCTCTGTGCTGAGGAAAGCATCTCTTGATTCCCAGACTGTGTCGGGATAATTCCTATTGGCATCCCCTCCTGGAGCAAGGCAGCACCTGCCAACCCACAGATATCAGAATTTTCCCACCAGGCACAACCCCCTCAGCCCTTTCTACCCTTCCCAACTCTTGGATTTCCCACAACTCAGAGCTTGCACAGCACAGAGATCAATTCCTGCTGAATTCCCCTGCTAAGGAGAGCCTGAAATCCCAGCTCCTCATCCTCATCCCCTCCACCTCCGACGGCTTTGGATGTTCTCAGCCTCGCCAGCCTCTGGTTATCACACTAATTAGGAGCTGGGGATGCTGATGCTGCTGGGAGGGAGGGAAAGGGGCTGTTCTCAGATTACACCGGGGTTCTTGGAAGGAAAACCCGAGGGCACAGCGGCGGCGGAGCCCGGCCCGTGTCACCACCCACGTGCGGGATGTCCGGGGCAGCGCCCTTCACCGGCACCTGCCCCGCGCCTCGGGCGCTCCTTTTCCGCCGCTGCAAGCGCGCGGCTCCCGGGCCAGAACCGGGGTTCAGCACCCCGGGAGCCCCCGGCCCACCCGGCCCCGCTCCTCCGCCGCAGCACGGCCCGAGCCGCCCGTGGTGCCCCCGTTTCACCGGGAACCGGCAGCTCTGCCCCCCCCTCCCCCAGCCCCGCTATCGCCCGCGGTGGAGCCGCTGCCTTCACCCGCCGGTGACCCCCCCGTTAAAGCAGCCCCGCGTTGCCCCCCTCCCCGCACCGCGGTGACGTCACGCGCGCACCCCGTGACGTCAGCGCCGGCGGTCTGACGCAGGTGTCGCCTCGTTCCTCAGCCAACGGGCGCGCAGGGCCCGGCGGAGGCCCGGCGCATCGGCGGCGCGGCGACTGCCGGTGCCCGCCCGGTGCCCGTGTGGCGGCGGTTGCGGCGGTACCGGCGCTGAGGGAGCGGCTCGGCCCGGGGCCTCCAACGGCCGCGCGTGCGCCCGCCCGCGCCGCCGCCCAATCAGCGCCCGTCGCGCGGGGGCTGCCGGGAAGCACCGGGGAGACGCGGCAACCGCGGCGGGAGGCGCTGAAGGGACTACAGCTCCCGGCGTGCTCCGCGAGAGAGCGCCCACAGAAACTACAGCTCCCGGCACGCTCAGCGCGGAGGTCGCCATAGAAACTACAGCCCCAGGCCTGGTCTGCAGGCTTGGGAAGGAAATGAGGGGGAAGAACGGGGAAAGAAACGGTCTCCTACAACTACCGCCATGCCTCGGGTAAGAGGGAGGAAAAAAAGGAGGAGAAAAGTGAGAAGAAAGAAACTAGTGCCTACAACTCCCAGCACGCCAGGCACCTGCCCGATCTGGGCCCTACAATTCCCACCCTGCTCCTCGGGGCGGAGAGTAGAAAATGCGTGGAAAAGCAGATGAAGGAGAAAGAGGAGGAGGAGAAGGAGCAAAGGAAGGAGGCGGGACGGAGAAAAGAAAGGGGGAAACTCTGGCCTACAGCTCCCAGCAGGCCCTGCGCACGGCAGCCCTGAGGACTACAACTCCCAGCATGCCCCGCGCGATCCCGCTGGTACCGGAGGCCCCTCCCAAGGTCACCGAGCCCCCCCCCCCCCCAGCACCCGCATCACGCCACACCCGGGCACCGGCACAGGTGGAGTTTATTTGTTCCACAACAAGGGCTCAGCTCCCCCTCCGCACCCCCCGACTCGCTGTTTGCTCCTGTTTGTAGGGAAATTGTGGCAAAGTCACTCAAAAGGCGCCGAGGGGGCTGAGGGAGCTCCGTGCTCACCCACAGGAGGAGCCCGGGGGGTTTCCAGGTGTGCCCACCTCACAGTGTTTAGTTACAGGAATTACACAAATTTCATATATAGTTTTCTCTGTGGCCCAATTAGACAAATATCTCCCTATCTATAATATAAAAAATACAGAGATTTGCCGTTTTTGGAAGTAAAATGTGCATTATCCGACTGTGAGCAGGAGGTAAACCTGAAAACCTGGTGCTGTTAGAGCTTCCATCACCACTGGCAGCTGGAGCCAATCTTTCTCCACCCCAAACCACCCCAAGGCAGGAAAAACCCAGAATTCAGCCCATGTTTCTCATGGAAAATAAAGTATTTCAAGTAAAGATGAAGTTGGGTTTCAGCATTTCAGAGCTCTGAGATCAGTCAGTACAATGCAAACCAAACCTGTGCAACAGCAGCTGTGCTTCCTGCTCCAAAAAAATCCACCCCAGTTCCCATCTTTGGGCTCTTGTTGCTTTTTTTTTTGTTGTTGTTTTTAATCCTTTGAAATACCGCTAGCAGTTCTTCAAAACAAAAAAAAAAAAATCTAGACAAAGGGAAGCAGCAGGAAAAAAAAAAATAACTTCCCAGCAGTGAGAGAACTTCTCATTTTTCTGTCCATTTTCAGTATTTTTCATCAAAGAACTGGTCCTGGGTTCACCAGGACTGTCCACCTGAAGGAGGAAGGCCAGGGCTAAACTTTGCTCTTGGCATATTAAAGAGTCTTTAATAAAGAGTAACATGTGCAAAAAAAAAAAAAAAAAAAAAAAGAAAAAGGAAAAAGAAAAAGAAAAAAAAAAAAGAAAAATAATTAAAAAAATTTAAATAGATCAACCCACGTTTTGCAGAATTACTGTGGCCAGAACAGCTCCCTCCTCTCTGTGTCTTTACCCAACCCAAGGCCAGAGTACCCGAGGTAAAAACTGCATTGGGGAGACACCACCACAAAGAAGAAGCCACCAAGAGGTGCCACCTGTCACCTCTGTGTCCATCCTGCCTCCAAAGACAAGGTGAGCAGCAGCCCAAAGGAACAAGGAGCAGAAATTCCCCTTCTCTCCGGGACCGTGGTTTGTATTTGTAGAGTTTTCCTAACCAGGTGGAGTGGGTGTCCAGCCTTCCCAGCCAGGACCAGCAGCTGCTCTCCCATACTTTCCAGAAAGTTTGTGGTGGTTTTTTGGGGCTTATTTTTTGAGGATTTTCCCCAGGATTATAGCTGGAATCCTTCCATGGGAGCCTCAGATTGCTGGAAGATGTATTGCTGCTGGTTCTCATCCACCTGGGGAGCCACGGCCGCGTCGTCCTCCACCCCAAAGTAGTGCTCGATCAAATCAAAGGCTTTCTGGTAGATCTCCTGGTTCTCGTGGCTCTGGAGGAATTCTATCTTATCCAAACCTTTTGAGGAAAAAAAAAAAAAAAAGTGGAATGGGATGAAACAAATCCACATCTCCATCTCTGAAAGAATTCTATGAGCAGAACACCTAAATCCAATTGTTCCAAAGCTGCCCTTGGATCTCATCACTGCCAAGCCACTTTAGCTCTTCCAGATGTGCTCCCAGCTGCAGGCTAATCCCAGATTCCAGTGGAATTAAAAATGAGGAATTTGGTGGCTGCAGGGGGTAGGGAGGAGCAGGGCCTGTCCCAGGAGCCTCCAGCTTTCACTGCCCCAATTAAATCCACATTTAGCATTTCTGCTGCACAGAAAGCACCAACGCACAGTGCACCCTCAGGAATTCCAGGAATTATCCTTCCAGGGAGAATCAGGACACTCAGAGTAATGACAGGGCAAAGCACACTGTCAGCTCACAGGGAGTTTCAGACCAAAATAGGAACTTGCTCCTCCTCAAAGCATCGAGAGGAGGACAGAAAAAAAAAATAATAAATAAAAAAACCCCATCAGCACCAAATTAAGTCACTCCAGGGAAAGGCAAAGTCTCCCTGGATTTCCAGTGTAAAAACTGGGTACAGTCAGAGCCATTTTAGACCCAGAACTGTCACTTTTTATTTAGCTCAGCTCATTATTCCTGGTTAATATTTCCACCTGGTGCAAGCCACGATTTTCAGCTTGGACTCCAGGTCAGAGTTTTAATTCCAAATATTTTCTCATCACCCACTAAATGAGTCTGAAAAGATTTTGGAACAAATATAATACATTTTGGAATATAATAAACCCTTCAAACAGAGCAGAAAAGCAACCAAGAGACTGCTGCAGTGCCCAGAGCCCCACCTACCATAGGCCTCCTCAATCAGGCTGCAGTAGGGGTTGATCCCAGTCCCACTCTGGTTGGCTTCCTGCTCTCCCAGCCTCAGGATGTTTTCCAGCCCATTCAAGGCCACCAGAACAATCTTGGAGTCCATGACAGTCAGCAGGTCACACAGAGGTTTGATACAACCCAAATTCACCAGGTACCTGCAGAGAGAGAGCAGCACCAGCATCACTGTGTGTTCAGCAGCTGGGAAGCATCACCTTTGCTCCACTGGAAAGCAAAGGAAAGAAGTTCAACTGAAATCCAGAAATTTACCTTAAAATACACATTTACTGCTCTGCAAAGTTCATTTTGATCTGTTTATTTGCATTTGTACACAGCCCTGTTTTCAGAAATCTCTTTTTTTTTAAGGAAAGGAGCCACTTTTGAAATCCTGGTGCTACTCAAGTTAAATCCAGACTAGAATTTAATCTGTCATTAAGTTTGGACATTTAGCCTCAACTACCCAAAGAGAGATGGAGAAAGTTTGGGATTAGATTATCCTCATCCAGAAGGAAATTACAAATTACAGTCCAGCTCTGCCTGCCTCAGTTACTCTCCAGAATTTCTCCAAATTCCTCCTTTGCCTGGAAATTCCCCTCAAGGCAAAGCTCCCAGGAATTCAGCCAGGGATCCCCCAGGAGGAGACCCTCAGGGAATACCTGATCTGCTCAGGAGTCCCTCCCGAGGTGGCGTTGGTGATGGCCCAGGCTGCCTCTTTCCTCGTGCGGAATTCTGCTTTCTGCAGGATTTCAATCAGCACCGGGAAAATATTGGCATCTATGACTGCCTGGGAAGAGAGGGCAGGGAGAGGGGTTGGGATTGGCAGCACTTCCCAAAAGGCTTCCCAGCACCTGAAAGAAACCTCCACCTCCATATCCCAATGTGAAGAACTTCCCAAGCTGCACCCTGCAGTGGTTCCTGTGCTTTGTTCTTCAGACAAATCCTATTAAAAGCAGATATTCCCTAACCAGCACAGCAGGCAATCCCTGGAATTTCATCAATACTGTGGGAATGCTGAAAGCTCTGCTCCGCTTCCCTGTGTAGATCAGGAAAAGGATAATTAAACCTCAACGAGCTCCAGCTCTTCAAAGGGATTGAGGATGGAGAAATAGGGGCTGTATCTCCTCTAATTCCAGTGATCCAACCTGTGGGATTCAATCCATGTGCTGCTGCCACTCCCAATTTCCATTCCCATTTTTTAGCTCATTTGGCAGCAGCAAATTTGCAAATGACTGCAGAGTAAGAGATGAACCAATCCTAAGGGTCAGGGCGAGGAAAAAGCTGCAAATCCTTAATGCTGAGCTTGGAAGCTGGGATCACTGCAGGCAGGCTGGAGAAGACTCTACCTGGATTTGTGCTCTGTTCCCTGCTGTGATGTTGGATATGGTCCAGCATGCCTCTTTCCTGATGGATTCCTTGGGACTGCTCAATAAATGGAGGAGGCAAGGCAGGGCTGAGCAGTTTAGAATCACCTTTGGGAGAAAGGAAGCAGAAATGAGATCACCAGTGCCAGGCCCTGCATTCCCTGCAGGAAATTCCTCTCCTCTCACCTGGGTCTGGATGTCATCCCCTGTTACGATGTTGCCAACTGCTCGAAGTGCTGGGGAGGCCACTTTGTAATCGTTGTGCCTGCAGGAAAATTGTGCCAAGAGAAACCCAAATCCATCAGATCCCTGAGATATTCATGATGTTCCCTCCCCATGATCCCATCTGCATGATTTCCTTAGGATTCCACCCCCTGCCATACAGAACACAGGGTAAGCTGAGCATAGAGCATATTGCCACTGAAAACAAAGTTGCAACACAGTTTGATCCTTTGCATCTTGACTCCCATCTCCTTTTCCAGATTTTGGAGGAACAAAGCCAGGCTGATTTCTCCTAGCCATTATTCTTTGATTTGCCTCATAACCAGGCTTCCATTTGAAGTTTGAGAGCACACAACACTCTGCAATCATTAAGGAAATCTGGGAAAGGAGAGAGAAAGTTCTTCCCAGTTGTCTCTGTAGTTGGCCCACACTCAAAAAATGGCCGAATTTCAGAAATTTATATGGATAATGTGTCTTTTATCAGCCAATTTATCATTTTTGGGGCAGATGCTGAGACCAACACAGGTATCTTTTCATAGTCTAGAGAAAAACTGGATAATCTTTGGCTCAGGAAGGCAAGCCAGCAAATTCCAGCTGTGAACCTGCTCCAGATCAGCTCAAGTGCCTGGATCCCATGTGCACAGGGGGTTTGGCTCTGATGGGATTTGGATGGGTTCTCAGTCTCCTGACAGATACTCACATTAAGAGCTCCACCAGCCTCCTGCACACCCCTGAGTCCACCACAGCCTGGATCTTCTCGTTGGGACCATCGGACAGGTAGGACAGAGCCCAGCACGCGTCTGCCAGCAGGTCAGAGTCACTGTTGAACAACAATCGGGACAACACTGGCAGGCAGGGGGACACCTGCAACAACAGCCACCACCCAGGGTTAGTCACCAGGCCAGGACCACCACACCTGCAGGAAAACACCTCCTGCTCGTGCTGACTGCCCAGATAAAATCCTGGATGGCCACAGATCCCTTCTCCCAGTCAGCAGCTCCTCATCAGCACCCAAAGCCACCTCAAGAGCTTTGTTGCTGCACTCAAATGACACTGAGGAATTCCACTGAGCTTTGGGAGCTCCTGTAAGAGTTCTGCTCCATTTCTGACTCTCAGTATTTAGACCAAGTTCACCTCAATAAGTCGATTTATATTTGCACTTAATTCAGATTTCACCCCTCACCACAGGCTTCCCAGCTTTGCTATGTGAAGTTTCACTTAAAAGAGGTGAAAACACGCTGATTTAAAACATTTTTGTGTAGCCAAAGGAGGATGAGATCCTTGAAAAGCCAGCAGGACCTTTAGTTAGGTTCCCTGGACAGGGAAAGGGAAGATACCACAACTCACAGGAGTGAGTGCTAAAATGTTTTTTTAGCATTTCCAGGTCTCAGAATTGGTCATCATTGAAGACTCAAAATTCCAGAGTTCATAAGAAAATGGTTGAGAGAAACTTTCTAGGGAAGCCTGGGCCTGTACCTTATTTGAGGGGTCCCAGCAAAAAAGTTAGGAAAAATTAAATATCCAGATCAACCTGAGCAGGAAAAACCTCACCCTGTGCCCTCCTCAAGTTCAACAGTCCAAAATAACCTAAACATCTTCACTGGGTGTCTCCCCACCACCTGGCTGCCAACAAGGCATTTCTTCTCACCTTATCGAATTCAGGAGGTGGACTCTTTCCTCTGCACAGGTTGGACAAGGCCCAGACAGCATTTCGTGTCATTGTCAGCCTGGTGGATGTGGTGAGGAGCCTGAACAGAGAATTACCAGGGGTTATTGTCCTTGATGTGTAAGCAGAGGGAACCAAAAGAATTAAAACATTTAGTTCCAATTCAGCCCAGCCATCACCAGAAACCAAGTGATACAAACTGCTCAGTCTGAGCTCAGGGTGAGTCCTGTGGGGTGAGGAGTCAGGCTGAGCCCTGGCTGACACCAGAAGCAGCAAAACCAGCCATCTGGGACAAAGCCACACTTCTCCAGGGTGGGATGAAGATTAATTCTTGCCAGGAAAACAAGAGCCCAGGCCTGACAGATCCACGTTATCACAATGCTAAGGGAGGTGGTGTGAGAGACCTGACTCCAATCCCAACAAATCCACAGCCCAAGCAGAGAGCAGGAGCTGAGGGACACCCTGTGACTCCAGAAGGAGCAGCACCCACCTCACCCCCAGAGCAGTGTGAAGGAATGTCATCCACAGATTCCCTCTCCTCTGCACCCTGGGAGGTTTGATTCCCAGGGATCCCACACTGCCAGGGAATCTGTGGGCCCCGCTCCAACACTGCTGCCCTGGTACAATGGGAATCCCAGAACTCCTCATGGCTACTCACATTAATAAGGGAGGAAGAATGGCACAGTTAAGGACATAATCTCTACACACAGAGCTGTCTCCAGCAATGTTCCCCAAGGCCCAGACAGCCTGAAAGGAAACAGCAACAGTTTTAGCATCCAGTTTCTAAAAGGGAGAAGCAGGCAGTGTGCTGAGAAAGCAATTTTCCTGTAATTCCGGGCAACAGTCTGTGCTCTGCAGCCAGTTGGGATCACTCAATTTAAGCACTGCATTTTTAACGTGAAATTTACTCTGAAATCCCAGAGCAAGGAGTGATCCTTACCTGCTCCTGAACGTCCTCAAAGTCAGAGTTTAAGAGCTCTATAAATATGGGAACTGCCCCAGCCTCAATGACTATTTTGGTTTGTTGGGAAGTCCCCGAGGCGATGTTCGTCAGGGCCCACGCAGCCTCAAACTGAAAGGAGTGACAAATAAAATAAAATATAATAAAAGCAAAATAGCTCTCATTACATTCTGCCTACAATTCTGCTAAAAAGGTTTTGTGAAAGAAAGGAAGAGAGCATCTCAATACTCAAAGGATTTTATTTTCTTGAGCAATAAAAGAGCCATAGCTGCTCAAAGGATGAGCAAGAGATGTCACCAAAATGTCATTTCCCCTCCACAACCATTTCCCAGCAAGAAAAGTGAAGGCACAGAGTGCAGAAACACACAAAATAGAAATTTTTTTGTATTTCATCCAACATCCCAAAGATGCTGCGAGTTCAAGGGAAGTTGAATGGAATTTCCCTGCTTTTGCTTCTCTTTTTGTGGTTTAAAACCAGATTTCCATCCAGTTCTTCTGGAAATTAAGCCCCTCTGGCCAGAGGGCAGGGAGAAAGAGGAAAGCAGTCACCAACTTGGATCAAATTCCATGTATGGAAGTCTCTTTAACCCCTCCAAAGAAACCAGGACTTATTACCAAGCTGGAAGGAATCTCAGGAAGCCACCCAGGCCTTCCCTCAGCCCCAGGCAGGATCAGCACTGGCCAAACCCATTTCTAACATTTCCTGGCCTCTGCTTAAAAGCCTCCAGCAATGGAGGTTTTTCTTCCCACAGTTTCTTCCTGCAGGTTTATCCCATGGCTCCAGCAGCTCCCAGCAGAAATATCAGCTACAGGAAGGCCAAAATCTCTTCAGCTGCAGCTGAATTAGGTGATTTTTGCCAGAATTTTTCCAATAATTTAATTCAGAGCAATTTACTTTTTTTTTTTGCCTAAGCATTACAGACTAGTTTTGTCTTTTATAGATCACATACACTGCATTTCTGGGGTTCAAAATATCATTTTCCCCTGACAGCACCTGTGGGTTCACAGGTTAAACAGCTGCACACCCTGAAGAATCGGTAACAGAATCTCCTTTACCTGTAATGTGCAATTTTCACTTCTTTTCAGAAATTCCACGAATCTCTCCACCACTCCCTGAGTGTTTATCACCTCATCTATTGGAGGATTTGGCTCTGAAACAGCAAGGCAGTGTCAGGGAGTGAACAGGCCTCATGCAGGGGAGTAACAAGCCTCAAGTGTTAATTTAATTATCTCAAACTGGACTGAACCCAGCAGGGCAGCTTGGCAGAATCATTTTCAAATCACACAGTTGACAATCATCAGCAATACAAGAGATTATCACATTTCTAGATTATGGATATTTTTTTTCCCCAACCTGCAAAGCTTTTGTGCACAAACCCTTATAAAGGTAGGATCTCTGTTGGATCCTGGGGCAGGGATGAGTTATTTTTACCTTTGGAGAGTAATTTCCTGAATTTCTGAGTGGTTGCTAGCTGTAGGTCAGGGTCATCTGAGAAAAGCATCTCCACCATCTCTCCTGTGATCAATCCCTCCTGAAAAGATGCAGAGGAGAAGAGAGAAATGGTTTCATTGCAGACTGAGACTATTTCAGGCACCACAGACAAGACATCCTGCCATGATCTGGGCTCAGCCAGAAACCCAAGGATTCAAAACTGGGGATCCCAGCACAGCATTGAATTCCTGACAGACTCTTCCAGGTCACATTTCCAACACTGGTGGGGAGAATGGGATAAAAGGGGAGGACACTGGAGGAGGATTTTGAACATGCAGCTGGGAATAACCCTTGATAAACCAGAGTGAGCAGCAGGATAGGGATTCCCTGGCATGGGCTGAGCTTTGCAGGGCTCCACTTATGTCCCTCTGGATCTCCCAGGAATAAATTTTCCCCTCAAGAGTAAATTTCCTCTTTACGTTTTAGCCAAGGCTTTGTGGCTGTTCCAGCTGCCCGCACCAACTTACACAAACATTCTTGAAAGTAAGGGAATAAAAACCTTGGAGTTTGGCAGTTCCATGCAATCACACAATCCCAGGATGGTTTGGGTTGGAAGGAGCTTAGAGATCATCCAGTTCCACCCCCTGCCAAGGGCAGGGACATCTTTCACTATCCCAGGGTGCTCCAACCCCCATCCAACCTGGGATAACTCCAGGGGTGGGGCAGCCACAGCTTCTCTGGGGATCTCTGCAGGGCCTCACCAAAGCATTAAATCTGTCTGAAGGCACCTTACCCCACACGTTGTGGAAGTAACATAGGAATCCACCAGGAGACTGTCAAACATGGAGTCATCCTCATTGATCAGCTCCACATTCCTTCTTTTGAAGAGCTGGTGGGGACCAAAACACAGAGAATGTTATTAGAAAGCAAGGATGAACAGGCTCCACAACTCAACATTCTTGTTCCTCAACCAACATCCTTCCTGGAGTGAACCCGAGTAAAAAGTGGCCATTAACAGCAGCTCTGCACTCTCAGGATTAGTCTGGCACACAAACCTGCTAAGTCTTGCCCTCAAATATGCAAATGCCCAAATCACTGAGCCACGGGGGCAGGCAAATGCAGAATTTGACCAAAATCAGGAAAAAGCAGCTTGGATACGGTAGCTAATAAAGCAAATATTTAGTTCCACACACATCACTTGGGAATCACCTCGTGCTTCCAAAAAAGAAATACACTCAGGGTTAAGAAATACATGCAGGCCATACTTCCACTTGCTCTACCTGTTTCTCCAGGAAATAATCTCATTCACTAATTATATCTAAAAAAAACCCACCACCACCACCTTTAAAATCAAGGATCTGTGAACAAAAGAAAAAAAGAAACCCTGAGTAGCCCAAGAACAAAATGCTTGGAAAGCTCTCCACGTGAGCAGGGCCCAGAGGGAAAAAAAAGAGAAAAAAAGCAAGATCTCAATTAGAAATTAAAAAATAAGGACTGTCAACAAACTTTAATGCACAGATCCTTGAAGATTCCAGTTGGGCAGCAGCACGGTGTGGGCTGTGGGAAGGCTGAACACAACCTGCTCAGGGTGACAGCTACCTGCTGCTCTCGTTTCTGTTTGCGCAGCTGAATCCCTTCCTCTTCTCTCCTCCGGCGCATTTCTTCGGGATTTAGGGCTTTGTTCTTGTAGCTCTTCATTCGATAGTTTTCTGTGAAAACAGGAGGAATTCTGCCTCAGGGTTCCTGTCACTGATTCTGTGTGTCCTTCCCATATGCACAAAGCATGGAATAACCAGGTGAAACACATTTATTTGCTCCCAGTGCCTTTGGTTTTTAGCAGGAATTTTTATTTCCCTGCTATCAGCACGGCATTTTTTTCCCAGACATTTTTTTTCCCAGAGAGCAAAAACGCAACAGGATGAAGGCATGGAGTTTATAACAACAACAGAGCAGAGCTGTAGGTGAGGGACAGGCCATGTGTGTCCCACCAGGTGTTCAGGACCTGACCTACTTCTGCTGCTGTTTCAGAGCTGACAAATGCAGCAATTCCAACCTGATTCCTCCCGAGTTTCCCTCCCAGCCAGGGTAGGGATACTCCAGTTTCTGGCACAGCTGAAGGCAGCCAGGGCCAAGCTGTAACTGAAGTATGGAAGGATAAAACCTCTTGCTGCTCCAGCTGGAACCCACTGCTTTAAGCATGGCAAAACTCCCCAAATTCTCCCATTATTGACATTATTTGCACATCTCTACCTTTCTCAGGATAAACCTGAGACCCAACTCGCCCTGAACCAAGTTACTCCTTCAGAACTCATTAGAAAACAAATATTTTTTGCTTTTTTTTCCCAGCTGCTAAGGGCAGGTGGAAGTTTGAAGTTTTATCTGCTCCTCATTTCAAGCCTGAGGCACCCTCAGCCCAGTGGCTCACAGAAAGTTTCAGTCCCACTTATCAACTGCCTCCAGCCACCCTGGTGCCCTTCCAAGATCAACTGGAGAACTGTCAGACCCAAAAGTCCACAGCCAACCCAAGAAAAAACATCTACTAAATACAAATATCCAGCTTTTCATTACTAAGGAGAGAGAGAAAAAATAACTGGGAAAAAAACCAATATTTTAACAGGAGAGGAAACAAAATACTTTCAGTTCTATGACTTCCCAAAACCAGCTAAAAAGACACCAAAAAAGAGAAAAATCTACAGCCTTTAGTGGTTTATATCTTACCATACAATAGCCAGGTGTCACCTAGATATAGATTTTAATTCAGAAAATACGTTTAAGCACCACTGTTATGTTTTTATTTTTATTTCCACCCTATTGTGGCTCATACAGCCACATGGAAGAGTAAGAGTTGACAGCTTAATTCTCCAAACAATTTAAGAATTTTAATCCTCCTTTTGGAAAGCAAAGCCTCCAATTAAAAGGTGGTTTTGAAGTAAAGGAGGAAGGAAAAGTGAGGATACACAGGATTACCAGGCAGTCACATAAATAGCCAAGTGACACATGAGAGTTCAGCTGCCTCCCAACTCAGCTGTGCCAGAAAGAGCCAGACTCGGGAACACTCAGCACCTTGTCCTTTAAGGTTTGGTGGGTTTTTTTTATCCCAGAGCATCAAGAACTGTGATCCTGCAGGGAAATCCCCAAGGATAACTCTTCAGGGTTGGTTGTCACAAAATTCCCTGGTTTTTCTCCCACAGTTTATCCCTGCAGATGGTTTCCATTGGTTTTTTCCCAGCCCATCATCTCTGGCAATGGTTTAATGGCAGGAGAATGCTGATTTGGGACATTCCACCCCATTTCCATGGCAATGGGTGTGAGAAACGCAGGATTGGGACCTCCCAGTGAGCTCCTGACTCAGGAATTAAACACAGCAGGACAAATTCTGTGTTTGGAATGTTTCAGTACCAAACATCCAGCTCATTTTTGTTAACTCTAAATTCCAATCGGTGGGAATATCCCCAAAGCCATTAATCAGGATCTGGGAGCACCTGGGCTGTCAGGAATGGGGAAGGAATCCTCTGCTCCTAAGCAATTGATGCAGGGAAGAGACTCCAGCCACAGATTTTCATTTTACTCTGGAAACTCTTCCTTTTACAGAAGGTCCAGTGGACACTGAACTAAAATCCTCAGAGTTCACTCAAGAAAACAACAAATCTTGCAAGATTCATTCCATTTTAAAAAGTTCTGATCCAGCTTGGACAAAACATCCCTTCTGCTTTAGGAATCCCACAGTTCCCCAAGTTGTGCCTTTTGTATCTCCCTGGATTAGCAAACTTCATTCATGGCTCCAGGAAAAAAATAATAATTAAAAAAAAAAATCAGTATTTGCATTTCAAACTTAAGGATGAAACTGAACTGAACAACACCTTCCCAATTTCCTGTGCAAAGAAAACCCCCTCAGGAGCTGGAAGAAATTTGGACCCTCTTGGCTTCACTGAAGGGAAAAAAAAATCCTCCAGCTGTCACGAAGTTACGAATCCAAGCTGCCACACTCATAAATGGAGGATGAGAAGGTATTTACCACTCAAAAGAAAGGAAAAACGGGGTTAAAGTTTGATTTTGAAGGCTCAGCAGGGCACTCAAATCCCTGTAAAGCCACTACAAGCTATGGCAGGAAACTCTAATTCCACAGTTGTTACTTTAACAGCTTCTGGATGTTCCTGGATCAGGAATTCAACCCTGCCTCTTCCCAATTTTCTGCAAGAAGCTTTTGCTTCCAACATTTTATTCAGCTGCTGATTAAACCCTGGGAGCTGAGTCACTGCAGGACTTGTGCTGCTGAGTCAGGGAGAGCTGAGCCTGCGCTGCGAGACCTGACACGGCTCTTTTGAAGCCAAAACGCCCTTACCCACAGGGAATATTCCACAGGGAATCTTCCAAAGGTGGCTGGGAACACACAGCCCGGCCAGGAGGGCTGACAGCTGCTCTTTGCAGTGGGGAAGGGTTGGGGAATTATGCAAGTATAAATAAATACACTTGAGGAACTTCATCAGCACTAATCTGTCAATTAGTGCCTGCTGGGGACATTCCCAGCTCTTAGGTGACCTCCAAAGGCCCTTTCCATCCAAGTTTTCCCTGGGATGGGATGAAGTTGGTGATTTATAATTTAAACTCCTCTAAATTAGTCATACTGCAACAAAATAAATTAAATGAACTGCTGGAGTTCATGGGGCAAACCTCATTCCTCATATTTCTCCACTTCCCTGAAATCCCAGAGGATCCTCCCATCTCTTCCTAACTTAATTAACATCTCCAGAGGATTTTCCTAAGAAAAAAAAATGTGGCCAGAACAACTTTATTAAGTGGATTGAAACCCTAGAAAAAGAAGGCTAAATCATCTGTACTACTTAAATAGAAATCAAATTAATAAACACATAAAATGTGTAAAAGGACAGCTCTGAACTGCTATCAGAAATCAGTCAAAACCACATTTTTTTTACTGTCACCACTAGTTTAGCAGTGAATTAATAGAATAAAATAAAAGGAAAAAATTCACTTTGTTTGCTCAGAAGACAGAGCAAACAAAGCTGAACAGAAGAACAACTACCCAAAAAAATCCTGTCACATAACCCCAACCCCAACCCTGGAATTTTGCATTTAAACCCTGGAAAAGCAGGGGAATTCTGCTGTGCTGACACTACGGCAGGGCTGGTTTGTTCTCACAGGGGTTATTGGAGTGTTTGGCACCACCAAAGTCCCGCAGAGGCTCTTCCAGAGCTGTCTTGGAGCAGCCTGGCCCCGTCCCTGGGCTCTGGGACACGCTGTGCTGCTGGTAAATCCCTGAGCCCCGCAGTTATTTTGGCTCGTTCAGCTCCCGGCAGCCAGGGATGTGATATCACCACTGGAATGTGCAGTGCTGGGAGGGGGAAGGGAGAGGCAGAAATTCTCTTTGGGGGAAATTCACTCTCAAGACAGCATTTGCTTCTCGTTCCCGAGGGTCAAGAGAAGATTAGGAAGCCTTTAGGAATGTCCCTGCCCTGATGGAAAAACAACCCAGCAACTCCTCAATCCAGTTCTCAATGCTTCCTCCTCCTGATTTGATTTTTTTCATCCCAAAATTTGAGGGCTTTAAGTTCTCTTCTGGTTTATCCATTCTGAACATTCAGATTTCCTTTAAAAATGGACTGATCAAGCACAAGTGTCAGCTGAGAGCCACTTGGAACAGTCCCTAAAACAGGAAAAAACTTTAACTGAATCCACTCAGACTCGACCCAGGAAAGTTAGGGATTAAAACCAACCAGAAACACTCAGAGATAATTACAGAGGGATATAAAATTCCAAATAAATCCAACCCTTCCAACGTGTGCTTTGCCTCAGAAACAAACAGGACTGTGTGATTTGCTAAGCAGATTTATCTGGACCTCCCCAGCCCCAGAACTGAAAGCCTGAAGGAATCAGGATTTCCCTCTTGCAGGATTTTAATGATGAAAGTCTCCCCCTTGACAAAGTTCATGTTTGCTCTCCTGAACTAAAGCAAACAAAGCCCAAAACAGCCAATTAACTGTTAAATTCATCAGCCACGGGAGTTTTATTAAGAATTGAGCATTAATACTGCTCCATGGGTTAAACCAAGATGTCATTTGCATGGCAAATAAGGAACAAACTAATGATAATTTCCAACAGTATCATTAACTTAAAAAGAAAGAAAAAAGCAGCCTTAGCTTGTTTCAAAATAATTCAAACACGGGGGATATTAAACTCTTACAGTGGTGGGAAGAAGGAGAAGCTTCTGTGCACAAAATTCTCAGCTTCACATAAAACTTCTCCAAGAGTCTCCAGACATTCCTGCCAGGCCCCAGGACATTTTTCTCCTCGGAGCTGCCAGCCCAGGTTTTACATCTCAAGCCATAAATTAATATTTCAAAGCTGCTCAGGGCTGGGAGGTGCAGCAGCCACACACAGATGTGGTCAGTGACTTCTCCTGGAACACCACAGGAGGATTTGGAGGCAGCAGAAAAGTTCCTGATGAGATCCCAGCAAGCAAGATCCCACCTCACAGGGCATTTCTGAAGCTTCACCGAATCCCTGGTTTGGAAGGAGCTGAAAGCTCATCCAGTGCCACCCCTGCCATAGGAGCGAAATCTTCCCCTGTCCCAGGTTGCTCCAAGCCCTGTCCAACCTGGCCTGGGATAATTCCAGGGTTGGGCCAGTCACAGGGAAGAATTTCTTCCCAATATCCAACCTAAATTTGCCACTTTAAATCCATTAAGCTTCTGAAACAGCTCTGGCTAAAAGAAAATATTGCAGGTGAAAAGTGGAAACATTTAAATCCTTATTTCCACAAGATCCTCAGTCAATTTGAAGGAAAACACAGCTGCTACAGCCTTGGCTTTTCTATTTCATCCTTCCAAAGCCTGTCTTCCTACAGGAATCCTTTGAAAAGAAAAAAGAAATAAAAAAGAAAGGCCACCTCTCCTCCCCGATCTGGGACCTCCCACATCAGGCACATCCAAACAAAAAGCTTCTGAAATTAAAACACTTTTTGAAGGGGTAACACTGGGCCGGGATTTATTTGCAGGGGACAGAGACCTGCCTGCAAGAGGTGACACTCCTTCCCATCAGTGTCCTGTCACCCGCGGTGACACAGGGACAGCACGTGCACAGCGACACTGAGGGCTCAAGCTTTGCTTTAATCAAAGTCACAACAACCAAAGCCTCAGATTTCCCAATCCGAAAGGTTATCAGACCTGCGAAGAGGTTTGCTGGATTCTCACTTGAGAGGTCAGAATGGAAACGGAGCAGCGATCTGACAGCCGGGGTCAGCCCGGTGAGGCTTCAACAGCAGCAGGAACAGCCCCAAATAGCCCCAAGTTACAGCGCTGACAGCCCCAAACTGGACTCTCGGAGCTCTCCCGAGCCAAGCCCGGGGTTTTGCAGCACTGACACCCCCAAATCTCCGCTATTTCACCATTAACCCCCGCCCCGCCCCGCAGCCCCCCAAAGTCGCTGTTGGCGCTGCCCGAAGCGGTCACAACCCCCGGGCCGCCCTCAGCGAGAGCCCCCTGAAGGCCCCCGCGCCCCCACAGCCGCCGGGAGCGGCCCCGGGATGACTCAGCGGCCGCGCCGGGCCCGCCGCCCTCAGCCCCGGGAGCGCCCGGGACGCCGGTGAGAGGCGAGGGCGGCGGCAACGCAGGGCGGACGGGCTGTGCGCCGTGCCCAGCCTCGGAGCGCCTCCTCCGGCTCCACCCCATCCCCTCGGCCGTGCCCGGTGCTCCTCGGGCCGCGCCCGCCCCTCAGGGCCCTCACCCATCGCGGCGGCTGCGGCAGCGGCTCCGGTGGTGGTGGCGGCGGCCAAAATATGGCGGCACCGGGCGGGGCGCGGGCCGGACGGCGGCCGCGCGGGGCCAAAGTTGTGCGCGCGGTGAGCGGCGGGGCGCGGCCGCGGGCCTCGGGCGCCCCCAGCGATCGGGGGCGGAACTACCCCGGCGGTCCTGTCCTGTCACCTGTCCTGTCACTTGTCCTGTCACTCGTGTCCTGTCACTCGTGTCCTGTCACTCGTGTCCTGTCACTTGTCCTGTCACCTGTCCTGTCACTCGTGTCCTGTCACTCGTGTCGTGTCACTTGTCCTGTCACCTGTCCTGTCACTCGTGTCCTGTCA